TTGTTAGCAAGCATAGTTACTAATATATTGGCCTAGAATTCTATCAAGAAATTTTTCAAAAACGATAACTCAGATAAAGAGTGCTCGTTAACTTTCTATGTACATGAAAACTGTCAAATTTCTTTGTTTTTTTTAGTTATTTTTCTTTTCTGATACTTTACTTGTCATTGCTTGTTGATTGATAGAGAATAATTGAAATAGTAAATATTATTGAATTTGAGGTAAACTTATGAAAAATATCTACAAAATAAAAAGAGTTTATTTTATTGTCGTTGTTCAATAGATGATATTTATTTTAAAACTAAATAAATAAGTTTATTTCATTCAAAAGACTTGAAAAATCTAGAATTATAGATTTATTTTACAAAATAATATTTTGTTTTTAATTCCCTATGAAATTATGTGTTTATAGAATTGTGCAAAATATATTGCTCTTTAACTGGAAATTTTGTCTTTTCATAAATTGAACCTTTTTTTTGTCTACTTCTGCTCTATTCAGCCCCGCACTTGGCCGTTTTCACCATTAGATTTTGTTGATGAATTGTGCTGTTTGAAGCTATCTATGAGGACTGCATAATAACAAAAGCAACATTGATTGATAAAATAAAATCTTTGGTATAAAAAATTAAAACTTTTGCTTCATTTAGCTGCACGGTTGTGTTTAATAAAAAAAAACAGTTGAAAAAAATTATATCCGTTAAATAAATTATACAATTGTGTGTAGAATTTCAAGCACTATCTTGTGATTAAGACAACTATTTGAATAAAGAGGATGAGGAACAAAAAAAAAATTCGAAAATGCTAAGACAGTAATTTATTCTGCGCCAACCGATATCTCACTTCTTTCATCACGATTTTCAATATGTTGCATTTCAACTGTTTAAATTTTATATCAATTATTTGATAGCTGTTTACTTGATATGTTTCTATGAGAAGAATTCCTTGTATTTTAAATGAATCGATATTGACAAACAAAAAAATTCTTTTTGTAATATCAACTATTAAAACTTCACTCGATTTATTATTTAATCATTTAAAAAAAAAATGCTGCATTCATCATCATTTTAGTTTTACTATCATGTTCAACTGACAAGCGAAGGTTTCCAACAGTCAAATTGCTTTCTGCTTGAAATAATTTCTATCTGATTCGTCTTAGTAAGTGATAAACAAGTATATTTGAGTTTGATCTTCTCTCTTTATGAAGATATGAGTGTCTTACTCGATTTTTGGGATATGATCATAGGATTTCAAAGAATATGAATGATGGAGTTTCGAGCTGAAATTTCGATCACAAGTTGATTTTCTATTCACTAGAAACTCTTCAAAGTTTCAGCTAGACCGAACATATTATGTTGAGCTCTGATGCAAAACAATGATATTTTAATGACAAGCTGATATCTCAGTAAACGTATGTTCGATCTAGCTGAGACTTTGAAAAGTTTCTGCTCTGAACTTCATTCTTCAGATTCTCACAGATCTTATAATCATATCTCAAAAATCGAGTAAAACACTCATATCTCGAAAAAGAGAGAAGATCAAACTCAAATATACTTGTCTATCAATTACGAAGACAAATCAGATGGAAATTATTTCAAGCAGAAAGCAATTTGACTATCAGAGACCTTTGCTTGTTAAATGTTTCACTTGTTTTTTCAGTTTCATTGAAAATGCTTGCAGTATAAAAGAAAATTAATTAGATCACATTAAAACCTGATTTAACGGCGAAATTTAACGTAGAATCTTACGTAAAATATTATCTAATAAGACAACATACAGTGAAAATATGATTTTATCAGTTTAGTGTTTTTTCAAATAGACTTCGATTTATAAATCGAAGAAATTGATCTACCCTATGCTATAATCTCAACTGACTATTTTAGCAACACAAAAAACAAACATTGATTTCTTTGTATGCAATGAATTATCTATTGAATAATTCATCAAATGTACTTATTTTATCATTGATTATATATAAATAAATTTTTCGACAATTCTTTTATACGTAAGTCATTATTTAATATGTGCATATATTTCGAATCGGGGATATATTTAGCAAAAGCCAACAAGTGATATTTACTCTTCGAATCGCCGAAATTCGATACAATAAATACTCTACCTGACAAAGTACATTAAAAAGTGCCGATATCAGAGTGTCGTCGATCATAAGAACTATGAAGAAAGTCGAAAATAAAAAAACCTAAAGTAAAATATATTACAATAATAGAATAAATCCTATTAGCTATCGATACTGTTTAAAATTTGATACGTTATTTGATAACGGAGAGTATTGAAACAACTCAATAGTATTTCATAAGAACAGGTAAACGTCACGTTGATTGCTATGTCAACCGTAACCAAGCATCTATGAGGATGTCACAATGATGCAGAAAAACTCTCCTTCATTTATTTAATTTATATTCTATAAAAAAAAATATTTTAATATGGTAATCAATGTTTTTCAAGGGCTAGTAGATTTAATTCTCATCTTAAAAGAGGTCCCCACTCATTTTTTTCTATATGTGAATAGTTATATAATTTATATCAACTCTTTTTATTCTTGGTTTTTTTTATTCGTTTTTTTGTTACGAAAAAGAAAAGAAACAAATGCTTATATTTCTTTTTTCTTCTGAGATTTTTCGTACGTGTTTGGTAATGTCTAAAGTCAAATAAGCAATAAAAAGTTACTATCATTGCTTTTTTTTCAAAGCAACTCGTAAAAGAAAATAATTAAAAGCTGATTCACCATGCGATTTATATTATTTGTAGTATCAAAATAAATTATTGGAACTAATTCAAATAAATATTTATTTCAATCAATTTAAAGTTTACAATTTGATCATGCACAAATTTATCACCAATATGAACGTTTCTATAATCGATGTTCGTCAAAATCGATTTATTTGTTTTTCATCTCAAAAACTTCAAAGTTTACTACGATTAAAACGAAGTATCTTTTTTGTTCCATCTTCTAATAAAGTTATAGCAGAACCATTTAGTATAAAAGATACTGTTCATAGAAAACGTATTACTCAAGCTTGTCATGGAAACGTGAAACATCTATATATGAACTTTATAATGAAATATTCATTTGACAAAAATTAAATAATTTTGATTCAATATCATTCGAATTTCAATTAACTAAAATTAAATTAGAAATTGTTGTTCATCAATTAAAATTAAAAAACAAATGAATTTTTAACTGAATTTCAAAATGTTCAAGAACGTGCTTATACGCGTGTTACTGTTGAAGACTTACATGAACTTGCTTCACTTAAAGAAAAAATTGATTAATATTAACAGAATGCTGGTCTTGTATAAGATAAGGATATGGTTGCTATGTATTTAATTGATAACAGAAAACGAAATATATCTGGTCATGTAAAATTCACAGACTTGAAAATGTTACGAATTTTATGCTTGATGTTGTTAGAAATGAATTTCTTGCATTTGAAATTCGAATTAATAATATAACACTGGATTTTGAAGTTGGTGCTTTTACTACAAGAATATTTATAATGAATTTATTAAATCATTCTGAACGATATCCATATGCTTTTAATATTGTTACTGGAACAACATTTCATTTTATTATGCGAATAATTATTGTTAAAATTATGCGATTGCTTCGATATAGAAAAATTCAATTACATTGACCTAATAAAATTGAGATTTTTTTTTGAACGCATTCTGTTCAGATATTACGGTGTGAGTTTGAGTGAATGTGGATATTACTGTCTCTTCTAATACTTTCATGCTCACAATCACTCTCGATTTGATTGTTTATTGTCACAACATAGAAACATGTGCCACATTTATTAAGAGTCTTTGCAATTCTGCTTTAGTTCGAATAGAAGCAAGTTGATTCGTTGTCTTTATAAATGAAATTATTTTTTACAAGTAAATAGCGTTTCAAAGACAACAAAAATATGTATAATTTACCTATGCACATCTTTTTCTCTATAAAATGAGCGACAAGCCCATTGTTTTGTTCTCTTGGATATATGCAGACACTTTTGTTTGTATTTTGTCAAGGTCTTGAATGAAAAAAACGAAGAAAGCAAACGTTGAAGTTGCCTTAATTTCTCAAATACCATTACAGCAGCATTAACAAGCCTACAAAATCGCAACATGAAGATGTTGACAATAATGACAGTTTCTTTCGAAGAAAAAAGGCATCGGTGTAATTGAGTAAAAATGGAACTCTCTTTCTTTCATCGCTCACATTTTTATTTCTGATCCAGCTTTCAGTGAAAAGACAGAGACAGTTACTTTCGGTATTCGTACATTCGAGTCTGTTGTGAAACGTCTACTGACAATTACGAGATGAAAAGGAGACCGATTTCATCGTGCTATCCATCGATGTAGGTGTGTGTCCTACGAGTGAGAGTTTGTGTCGAGGAAACAGTAAACTAAGGATGCACCAATTCTAAACAATTCTAAGAACTGGAATTGAGCAGAATTGGAATTGGTGCATCTCTACAGTAAACTTACACTGGCATTCTCAAAAAAAGGGGCCAATTTTCCAATGTCTTTCGTAGTTCACAAAGTGTGTCGTGTTTTAGACCAAGAGGTCTATCTAGCTTCACTTTTATACAGGTGCAACAAACATTACCACTCCATCCAAATTTCATCAACAAGATTATTGTGACATTTCCAGCGATGATTATATTTGACGGTTGCAACTTACGAACTGGACCCTGCATCATTCAGTTGGTTGATGTCGACGACTATGACGCGACACTCAACGCGGTAAGTCACAAAGCATAATAAAATATTGAGATCAGTATCCTAGTTATTATGTGATTTTTCACACAAGCGAGCAGTACTATTAGTCTAGTCATGAATAAAACATCTTTTTCTGTCATTTTTGATTTCTATTACTCGAACTTCCTGGGTGTATAATGACTTATTGATACCTGTAGACATCGTTGATGCGAAAGAGCAAAAAATAATTTATCAAAAATTGTACCAGGATTTACTGAACACAGAACCAACCAAGATGAACGTGAAACAGATGTATCTCTAAATTTTGCCTCAGACCATTATGATTAACTCTTATTCAACTATGTTATTTTTTACAAAATGACATAATATGCATTAATCAATCGAATATTGATTTATAAGTTTTTAATGCATGTTCACTCTTCATGCTCTTTTTTTTTTTGAGACCAAACTCTTGATAGTGTAGAGAGAGAAAATTTGTGTTCTCACGTTCTGTATTTTTACTGCATTGAGATGCATGTGACAACGAGAAATTACTTGTGAGATCTAATTTCTATCATTGTTCGAGTAGTTTGAATTATTTGAGTTCTGCATTTTACTCCAAATTCACCTATGAATGATAAACATGATTGCTGCGATCATTTGTAATCTCTATAGAAACTGAAGAAACTTTCTTTATTATCTCGAGTTCCAAGCTATCGATCTTTATCTGTAATGTTAGGTCAAGGTGATGAATGTTTCATGCTGAAATTTTTCGAAATCTCTCAAATTGTCCATTTCCTCAGATTTTATGACATGCTGGTTTTTGATTCTATCACAGACTGCAACAAATATCATGCAGGTTGCCGTTTATGATCGAGTCGCTCCATAGTATGCTATATATTCATCCCTTAGGGATTCTATTCATAAGATTTTTTGATGATACATTTTGTCCGCGTTTCATATTGCACAAGTCAGTAATAAAAGTATCACAAAAACGAAGAACAGTAAATTGTTTACTCATCTCGAAAAGCAATCGGGACCATCGCATTGATTAAAATACTTTTTTCGCCTCCCTGTTACCTTTTTCTTAACTTAAGAAACATACATGGATGATTCACTCATGAATTCTTTACAGGTCAACATTTTACGAAGTAAAAACATTCCACTGCATCGGCATAAGCTTGGTCATTATTGTCCACGCTCACCGCATCTTATCCTTCGTATTCTCAACAAACACTATTCTACTGTCATCATCCGCACAACACTCAATTATAGAACCATTTGGACATTGCAATAAATGAGGATCGGAATCAGGGTGAAAACACTACTAAACATCAGATCCATATACTCAACTGCTCAGTCTATATTTACACCGTCATTCGTTGAATCCTTTTCATCTGCTTTTTTTATTTTTCATTTGTCAGTTTCATAAAAAACGAATTGTATTCTTCACTGAAATAGTCAACATCTAGGAAATATCTTTTATGAAACAGAGTGTGGGTTTCAAGAAAAACGTTTGACCCACACCCACAGCCTTGTCATCACTAATTCAAAATCTCTAAACAGAAAATGAACAAACCTGATGTTCACTTTGTTCGAATGATAGATACAGAATTTGATAGACAAAGTGTCAATACTACTTGATTAAAATGGCCAACATGTAAAAGTCAATCTCCTTCAAGAAATGAACGAACTTTAAGTTTATTTTGAATCATTCCGATAAAAACATGATAGTTCTTGTAGGTTGTGGATGTGGAGTGGGAATACGTGTGGATGTGATTGTGGGTCTTGATGATAGCAATATGTAAACCACAGTCACACCCACACTCTCTTTGTTCTATGGTGAAACAAGCATATGTCGATGGAAATATACCTACATCTTACCCCGTAGTAAATAAACAAATACAATTACGATTGACACAATTTGTTTCTGAAGGTAAAATTTTTTATAATATATTTTGTAAAACTCTATTCTATACAGGTCTTGCAATGAATGAATCAACGTCATTTTTTGAAAAAGTAAACTCTGATCGTGTTTACATTTTAGAGAAGCATGACGACTTTATCCAACTAATGATGTTCATGAAAGAAAAAAAACGAAACAAGTATGTCTCTATAATATAATATTAACCCTTGAAACAAGTTTGTTTTTAATCATAGAGAAACTGATCGTATTACCTATTGATAAAGAGACCCAAGTGATTGTTTCATCATTCATTCAAGTATTCGAACAAACTGGATATATAAAATCAGCTCCGAAATGTCACAAACGCCTGAACAATGTTTATGTCATATCAAACAAAAGAATTTGGCTTGGACAGCGCACATTGTAAAATACTTGTCTCCGAATTCTCAACTAATCTCATTTATATTTTAGGACTCAATTCATTGTTCCAGCTTCAGTTAATAATGAAAATGAAAGTCAACATTACAGTGAAGATGCTGAAAACGAAGATGATGATAGTAAGCAATATAGATAGTCAACTTTCAAAAGCTATCATGATTTCTAGCCGTTTTTCAAATAATACATGTTCATTGATAAAAAATAGATTCAGTGATATTTATAATTCGAAAAGGAAACTTACTTCTCATATGCAATTTGATTTATTCTCCTACTGATGTACAGTAATAGGAATGACACTTAATCATCTACTTCATGCAACAGTCTATCATTCTTATAATAAATTTATTTTCTTTTTTCTGTCAGCCGTAATGTGATCAAAACTAGTCAAATATTCAATGAAAAGCATTCACCACAACACGTTTTCAAGCAAATTTAAATAAAAATGAAAATATTATGTCAACTAAACGATAAATTTATAATCGATGGATTACATTGGACTCTTTTCTGATTGTATTTTGCGTCTTTAGTGTTAATGCCTTTGAAAATGGTCAAAAACTCTCAAATCAAACGCAAGCGGTATTGGCTTTTCTATGTTTAAATAATCGTTTGGTTTATTCACCTCATTAATATATAAGATATATATAAACTTTACTGACAATGATCTCTTATTTTTTCCCTATCAAATATGTTTAAAACGCATACATTATTTTACTTTTGTTGTAGTTTCCTTATTTACCTGTTATATGAGCATGTTTTACTAAACTTTATTATTCTTTGTTGAATAAAGATGATACCGATAAAATAATTTCTGATTTCTCACACTAGATATGAATCGACTTTTTACAACAAGAGGATTAGATTGAAGTAAATAATAACCAACCAAGTTTAAAATAAATGCATCTATTTTAAAAAGCATAGTCTTCTTACACTAAACAAAATTACACACTTTATAATTTAGCGATGCAGCATATTTCAACACTTGAAAAAAGTTTGTGAAGATCTTCAATCTTAAAATAATAATAACTTGCGCTTTATCGAAATAGATTTAAGAATTATTCTTATATGCTTCCTGATCTACAAATTGATTCCTTTAGTATTTTAACTAATTAGAAGCGCCATCTTATAAAATTAATGGAGCTCTTAATGCGCTAAGTGTATATGAATAAAATATCCAATCAGCATATTAGGCTACTTTGGCCGATTATCATTACCCATAAATTATCAGCTTATTCATAAAATACATCGCATTCGAATGAAAAGAAAAAGATACATTTTCATCAAAATAAGTTTGTATTCAGTTTGGTTGTATTCGCACGTGTTACAATGAAGTGAAAAACTAAATAATGCGTGTAGCAGTCGTTATTTTGCTCGTTTTCTTTCGAAAGCCTACACTATACAATGTTGTCTATCTTTTTGAAAAAAATTATTTTAACAACGTACCAAAGACGTTAGTGTATATCCAGGTCGAAAACCGTATGCGGATCATATAAAACCTTACACAGTCTTACTGACAATGGGATTTCGTAAGATTCACATTGTATCACCGTACTGAAACATGCAAATATCTTACTGTAACATTTAATATATTTCTTCCTCTAAGATGCT